AGCGTCTTGTTCCGACTTGCTGGCGGTGCGGGCAGAGAGGTCGAATGACTGCGCGGGAGTTGGTGCGTACAGAGTGCGCTCGAGAACGCCCGCTCCACATCTGCAAAAAGTCTATCTGTCGTTGCCGGAGTCGGTTCGGCGTAGCTTGCAGCTCCTCCAGTGGCCATGTGGCAGATTCCCAAGCTAGGCTCAACGCTCTCAACAGGTTGTGGGAACGACTGGTTGAAACACACCGGGGCCCATCATTCTCTGCGGTGACTGCAACCTCGAGGTGCTCACGGGGCATCGGATGAATGTACTTGTCAACTTTTATCTTGGCCAGCTCGCTCAAGCAACTTGCATCTGTAGAAGCGCGTTCAATTGTTCGCAGTGGCCCGTGCCCACCTGCGCGCAGGCGGGTGCCGACTAGTGTTCGCGCAAGCGGGCAGAGCTTGATTATTTCTTTGCCGCCATGCTCCGCTACCACTTCCAGAATTCTCAGGCAATCCGTGTAGCATAAAAGCATGCAGCGCCGCGGCAAAACGGTAACGTCAAGAGTGTCCAGAGGACGGCTCTCAGAGGTCTTTGCCGCCATCGCTATGTTCTGAAGATCTGCCAGAGTGGGCCCCTCACCCTTTCGGTCTCTTGCCGCATCAGTATGCAAGTGGAGCTTCCCGGGGGGACGCAAGCGTACCTTTCCTGCTGTTCCTACCTTCTCGTCCTTTTCAGCTATGTCGTCCGCTCCCCTCTCCCATCAGATCCAGTCATCCGCATCGGGCTCGCGCTCCCGCCATTGTACACCACCCAATGCGAGCGAGAGCACGCCCATGCATACATAGTGCTGTCCTTCCACGTTATTAACAACGCGCCGCACTGTATACCCCGCCCCAATTCTCCTCAACATACGTCCACCACCTGCGCGCAGCTCAGGATGCCAGTAGCATGTAGGTGAGATCAGCACCTGCTGCGCCTCATGCTACTTGTGCTCCTGGCCCGCATCTGCGGACTCTGTATCAGGCAGCCGCTCTGCTCAAGCGGGCACGGCTCTGGAGTCCCCACTGCGGCAGGGAAACATTGGAGACGGAGGAACTAGTTTCCCAGGGTGACAGGCTCTGCAGGGCAGTCTCGTACAGAAGTGCGTCCGAGACTTCTAACCTGGCTGCGTCTTCAGGTCCAAGCCCGGCAGGGTCTACTCGGGCCTGGAGGTAGCTGGCGGCCCTGCCAGGTATTCTAACGCGGGGAGTGGAAGCACTTTTTGAGCGGTGCCTTGGCGATGCCCCAGTCGCATTGTGGGGGGAAGGGGTCGGGGAGGAGCTGGAGTGGAGAGCAGGGGCGGGGAGATGGATTTTTGCGGCGGCGGGGAAGCAGGGCAGGGCGAGGGGCAGGGGTCGTCGTCGAGCGTCGGATGAAGCGTCTGGCTGTTCTCGCACGCGAACGACGAGCAGAGGAGGTGGGAGCACTCCGTTGGCATCGGAGGGCATGGCTGAGGGCAGGAGGGGCAGGGGAGGGGTTCGACTTCGAGGAGGACGAGGATGAGGAAGAGCAGAGGAGGAGGAGGAGGAGGAGGAGGAGGAGGAGGAGGAGGAGGAAGGGGAGGGGGAGGATGAGGGTGGTGATGATAATGATGATGATGGTGATGATGATGATGATGCTGATGATGATGATGATGATGAGAAGGAGGAGGAGGAGGAGGAGGAGGATGAGGATGAGGTTGATAATGCTGATGATGCTGCTGCTGCTGATGATGATGATGATGACGATGGTGATGATACTCATGATGATGGTTCTGATGCTGATAATGAGGAGGAGGAGGGGGAGGATGGGGAGGAGGAGCAGGATCCGAGCCGGGGGCTTGTACATGACCACCGCCTTGGGGATCGATCTTCGTAGACCTCGGTAGGCGGCGGATCTGGCTATATATATATATATATATATGTGTATGTATGTGTATGCATGCCTGTGTGTCTGTCTGTCTGTTTGTCTGTCTGTCGGTCTGTCTGTCTGTCTGTCTGTCTGTATGTATGTATGTACGTGTGTAGATACACACATATGTACACACGTAGCGCCCCGCAGTTTCGGATAAGAGTGTGGGGGGGGGGGGCGGGGACGTCGGCAGTCTGCGAGGCTCTGATGAAGCCCGCCGCAGGCGTCTAATTTTACAGATTCTAGACTCTTCGCGTAACCCCACCAGCCCATCCAGAAACGATGCCCAGAGGAAGTGCCTCGATCAGGGAAGTGGGCAGCACACAAAGGAAGGGTACCCCAGTGGAGGCCGGCTGGAGCGTCTTAGGGGCCTCTTGGCGGTCCCGGACGCCTCCTAGAGCGTCTTGGGTGCTTTGGAGAGCTTCTTGGGGCCTCTTGGGGGTCTCTTGGGGGCCTCTTGGAGGCCTCTGGGGCGCTTGTTGGGGCCTCCTGGGGCCTCATGGGCGCCTCGTGGGGCCCTCTTGAAGCGCTCTTGGGAGCCTTCAGAGCGCTCTTGGAGCCCTCTTGGGCCATCTTGGAGTCATCTTGAAGCCTCGGATGGCCATCGGAAGCGAAAAGGCGAGAAAGCCCAAAATGTTGATTTTCCGAAGGTTTTGGAAGGATTTTGGCCTCTTCGGGGCCTCCTGGGGGAGCTCTTTGGCCACTTGGAGCCGTCCTGAAGCGGTCTTGGGGCCTCTTGGAGCATCGTGGGAGCCATCTTGAGGCATCTTGGGATATCTTGAGCCATCTTGGAGGTCATCTTGGGCTCTCCCAGGCGCTCTTGGAGTCATCTGAAGCAGTGCCCCCCCCCCAGGAGGCCCAAATGTGGCCAAAACCTTAGTAAAATCAATGATTTGGGCATTCTCGCCGAGGCCTCTTGGAGCGTCTTGGGTGGGGCCTCGTGGGGGTCTCTTGGGAGCCTCTTGGGGATCCTGGGGGCCTCTTGGGAGCTTCTTGGGGCCACATGGGGCCATCTTGGGGCCATCTCGGGGCCTCTTGGGGCATCCTGGGGGCCTCTTGCGGCCATCGTGGAGGAAATCGATGAAAGAAGAGGGGAGCTCTAATTAGCGCTGCCCCCTCAGAACGCCAAAATGGGGCCAAAACCATAGTAAAATCAATGATTTTGGCTTCCTCGCCGAGGCCGTTTTGGACGCTCTGACCGCTCCCCGCCCCTCCTGTCCAGGTCAGTGGGGAGGGGGTAGGGGGAGGGGTAAACCCCTCCCCGAAGGGGAAGAGGGAGGGGTGGAAGAGGAAACGCCCTAAACCACCGACGCCCAGAGGGCTGGTGGGATTTTGGAGGACATCGGCCAAGGAAGTGGGGTTCCCTAAATACAGCCCCCCCCCCAGGAGCTCCAAAAATCGCTTCCTGGACCCCTCTTCGATCGCTCTTGGAGCGCTCGTGGCCGCTCTTGGAGCCATCCTGAGGCTCTCTTGGGCCCCTCTTGGAGCTATCTTGAGCCATCTTGGAGCCATCTTGACGCGTCGGATGTGCATCGCAAGCGAAAAAGTGAGAACACCAAAACCATTGATTTTCCCTAGGGTTTTGAAGCATTTTGGCCTCTTGGATGCATCTTAATGGTGCTCTTGTGGGCACTTGGAACCGTCTTGGGGAGTTCTTGGAGCGTCTTGGAACATCATGGGGACCATCTTGAGGCATCTTGCGCTATCTTGAGCCATCTTGGAGGTCATCTTGAGCTCCCTGAGGCCCCCTTGGAGCCGTGTTGGGCCGTCTTGGACGCTCTAACTACCCGCGGCCCCCCCCTGTCCAGGTCAGTGGGGAGGGGGTAGGGGGAGGGGTAAACCCCTCCCCGAAGGGGAAGAAGGAGGGGTGGAAGAGGAAACGCTCTAAACCACCGACGCCCAGAGGGCTGGTGGGATTATACAACGAGCTCGCCGCAGGCGCCAGTTCTTTTGTTGCAGCAATGTGGGTGGGCCGAGGAGGGGTCGCGGGTGGGTCGCGGGTGGGTCGTCGCGTGTGGGTCGCGGGCTGGGTCGCGGGTGGATTTCGGGTGAGTCGCGGGTGGGTCGCGGGTGGGTCGCGGGTGTGTCGCGGGCGGGTCGCGGGGTGGGTCGCGGGTGGGTCGCGAGTGGGTCGCATACTGGGTCGCGGGTGGGTCGCGGGTGTGTCGCGGGTGGGTCGCGGGCCAGGTCGCGGGGGGGACGACGACAACAAAAAACAAGCAACAAACACAAGACAACAAACAACAAACAACACACAACAACACACAACGAACAACAACAGCGGAGGGGCGGGCGAGCGTGGCGGGGGCGGGAGCGCCCCGCAGGTGAAGGCGAGGTTCGCGCAGCGGTTCCTGGAGGACCTCCGTCGCCCCGCTCCTCCTTCTCCCCCCGACTCCCAGGCCGCCGCGCGGGGCGCCCCTGGGTGCCCAACCTGCGCGGGACTGCGGCGCTTGCTCTTAGGTCTGTGATGCGAGCGGATGTCCCTGCGCGACTGCGGTCCCCCGCTTTGGTATGGTCCGCTCCGCTCGGTGTCTTCCTCGGCCTGCGCCTCGCCCGCTTTCGTGCCCTGGTTCGGTCCCCCTCGGTCGCGCGCTGCGACTGCAGAATCTCAAGGGAGTTCGGGCTTGACGCTAACCTAACCCACGTCCAAGCAAGACTCTCACAGGCCATCCCATGTTTGGAACGTCGTTGAACTGCTATCTCGCAGAAGCAGCTCGTAATGTTTGCATTGTCGCGGCGCGTCCAAGTTCACGTACCAATATTCGGAGTGACGGGGCCGAACGGTCATTCATTGTCCCTTTGCGCGTGGCTGAAGTGAGGGTCTGCGGTGCGGGTTATTGTTGTTGCCGTTGCTGCTGCTGCTGTTGTTGTTGCTGTTATTGTTACTGTTGTTGTCGTTGTTGCTGCTGTTGTTGTTGTGGTTGTTGTTGTTGTTGTTGTTGTGGTTGTTGTTGCTGTTGGGTTGGTGTTGCTGGTGTTGTTGTTACTCTTGTTGTTGCTATAGTTGTGGAGTTCTCATTTTAGATGATGATTATTGTTGACATTCCCCTTCGGGGCACATTGTTTTCTTATCCCCCAATTGAAGTGACCCCCTCGGGGCTCGCACCACGTGTTTTAGAGTATGCGAGGGGTCACCCAACTGGGCCCCTGGCCCCCGAGTTGCAATAACAACGGCTCCCGCCTGCTACTTCCGCACAGTTTACTTCACATACGCGCTCTCGCACGGGAATTCTTAGAATTCATGCAGGCATCGCGCTCTCGCGGAGGACTTCCTCGCAATTTATTATAGGACTCATTTTATGGCTGTGGATTTCCTTACGATTTATTCCGGCGTCGTGCCTCCAACCCTTAGGCATCACGCTGTCACTCTGGCCTCTCCCACGATTGACTTGGGAATCGCGCTATCGCTCGAGACTTCCTCGCGATTCATGCTCAAGCTTCGGCAACCCGCCTGCTCGACCTGGCCGCCTGGGCCCGCCTTCCTGACCCGCCCATCAGGGTCCACCCGCCCGATCTGCCCGTCTGGTTCTGCCACGTGCGTTCTGGTCCTAGCCCCTCTCCTGCTAGTCTCTCTCGTGCTCCATTATTCTCCCTCCCCCTTCCATCCGTCCACTTTATCCATGTTTTCGGGACTGCGCCAACTACACGTGGCAGGTAGGGAAGATATACAAGGGCGTACGATCGACGACGAATAGGGCGGGTACCGAGGGTTTGGGCTACACGTGTTGAATGGCATGCGAGCGTGTAGGAGCGAACAGTCTGAAACGTGGTGTTGTTGCAACTGCTGCTGCTGCCGCTGCTGCTGCTGCTGCTGCTGTTGTTGTTGTTGTTGTTGTTGTTGTTGTTGTTGTTGTTGTTGTTGTTGTTGTTGTTGTTGTTGTTGTGGTTTGGTGTTGTTTTCAGGTGTGCTTGAATTCTCTTTCTTGAAGAATAATTATAATAGATCCCCCCCTGTGGGGCTCACTGTGTTTTCTCAGTTGAAGTGCCCTTCCACGGGGCTCGCACCTAGGTTTTTATTGGGGGCCGTCTCGAATCTCGGAAGCCGCCCAGTTAAAACAACAAGCAGTGGGTCCCACCGGATACTTCATGGCAATGTACTCCCAAGTCGCGCTCTCGCGCGCGACTTCCTCACAGCTTATATACAGGAATCGCGCTCTCGCATGGGACCCCCTCTCAACTTGTTACAGGAATCATTTTCTCGCTGTGGATTTCCTCCGGATTTACGTGTGAATCGCGCTATCGTTCCAGACTTCCTCGCGGTTCATGCGGTAATCACGCTTCAGCAACCCGCCTGCTCGACTTGGCCGCTTGGGCCAGCCTTCCCGACCCGCCCGTTAGGGTCTACCCGCCCGATGTGCCCGTCTGGCTCAGCCACGTGTTTTCAGCTCCTAGCTGCTCTTCCTGCTGTTCTCTCTCTCTCTCTCTCTTGCTGCATCCTCCTCCCTCCCCCTTGCCCCTTCCATCCGTCTTCTCTTCTCCTGCCTTAGGGGCTGCACGAAATACATGTTGCAGGTAAGAACTCTCTCTCTATATGTATGTATGTATGTATGTATGTATGTATGTATGTATGTATGTATGTATGTATATATATATATATATAGATGCACTCCTGAGGGGTACGATCGAACACGAGGGGGGCGGGCATCCCGTGTTTGGAGCGTACGAATTGAATGGCCCGCGACCAGACAAGAGCGAATCACCTAAGTTGGTTGTTGCTTAATGTTAATTACTAAACAATTACTCTTGTTGAACCCCTTAAAGGCGCCCTGGCGCTCACGCCGAGGCGCCGGCTACATTTCATTGAACATGAGGCTCACGCTCGAGCGGTTTGGGGGAACGCCAAAACCGGCCCCCCAACAACAACAACGCTCCCGCTCGAGACTTCCTCTTTTTTTGACTCAGGGCTGGTGTTCTTGCTCGCCGCCGAAAGACGCCGTCCTAACAAAACCAGCGCTCCCGCTCGAGACTTCCTCCTGTTCTACCTTGGAATGGTGCGCTAGTCTTTCTCTCATCGGCGCCGCCCCCAGCAAAACGCTCCCCCTCGAGGCTTCCTCCCTTTTTTACTCAAAAGGGGTGCTCCTCCTCGCCGGCCAAAAACTGCCGCCCCGACAAAACCAGCGCTCCCGCCCGAGACTTCCTTCCGTTTTACGCTGGACTGGCGCCCAACTTTCTTTTGAATTCACGCCGGTCCCAGCAAGAGCAACGCTCCTGCTCGAGATCTCCTTTCTTTTTTTCCTGAAGACGGTGCTCCTCGCCGCCGACAACCCCCGTCCCGACAAAACCACGGCTCCCGCTCGATGCTTGCCCCCTTCTTACTCAAGGCGGTGTTCCTCCTCGCCGCCGAAATCCGTCGCCCCGACAAAACCAGCGCTCCCGCCCGAGACTTCCTTCCGTTTTACGCTGGACTGGCGCCCAAGTCTCTTTTGAATTGGCGCCGCTCCCAGCAAGAACAACGCTCCCGCTCGAGATTGTAGTGGCCTCCGGCCAGTGCCGCCGATCCGGGGCGCTCCGGATGATGATGATGATGGTGACGTGACGATGGTGATGGTGATGGTGATGGTGATGGAGACGGTGGTCCCGGCCCCCCCTCCTTCCCCCCCTCCTCTCTCCTGTCCCACCCTCCCTGTCTCCTGTCCCCCTCCCCCCTCTCTCCTTCCCCCCCCCCCTCTCTCCTGTCCCCCCCCCTCCTCTCTCCCCCCCCTCTCTCCCGCCCCCCTCTCTCCTGTCCCCTCCCCATCTCTCCTGTCCCCCCCCCCGTTCCCCCCCCCTCTCTCCTGTCCCCTCCTCCCCCCTCTTTCCTGTCCACCCCCCTCCCCTCTCCCCCCGCCCCTCTCTCCTGTCCCCCCCCCTCTCTCCTGTCCCCCCTCCCCTCTCTCCTGTCCCCCCCCCTCCCCTTGCAGAGGCCCATCTGCAAAGCGGACCCTCCCGCCTTTCCCTGCAGCTCCCGCTCCCGCCTGAGAGGGCCCCCCCCCTTTGCAGCCCCCCCCCTTGCAGAGCGCCCCCCCCCCCTCTCCTGCCCTCACCCTTGCAGAGCAAAACTCCGGGGGGGGGGGGGCCGAAATCGAGGGGGGGGGGGCTGGCAGGGGGGGGGAGGTGCCGAGCACTGAATTCGTCAGTTAATGAGTCCCCCTGCCCTCCCCCCCTCCCGAGCAGAGCTAAAGCTCATGCTGAAGCAGAGCTTCAGCTTAGTCTTCTTAAACTCACACGCCGGATCGGCGGATTTCCTTTCTTTTTCCTCGGGACGGTGCTGTTCCTCGCCGCCGACAGCCCCCGTCCTCACAAAACCACGGCTCCGGCTCGATTCTTCCTCCAGCGTTCCCGCTCGAGACTTCGTTTTGTTTTACGCTGGACTAGCGCCCGACTCTCTTCAACATTGGCGCCGCTCCCAGCAACAACAGCAGCCCTGCTCGAGACTTCCTCCCTTTCTATTCAGGGCCAGGTCCTTGCCTCACCGCCGACAGCCCCCATCCCCACCAATGCAACCCTGTCGTTCGGCATTGCATTGTGCTTTACCCTTCGCTGGGGTTCCACTGGCGGTCTGGCGGTCTCGCATCGGCGCAGCAAGGCGCGAGCATGTGTTTTCGAGGCGGGATATGTTGAAATTCCTTGGAGCAGGTGTTTGCAAGACCTCATTGGGCGGGAGATCTGGGAACGGGAATATCGGACCCCGCTATAGAACAAGAGTCCCCCATGATGTGGATGGTTATCATGATGGTCGCATGCTTCGTGTGGAAACATCGCGCATGAGGGTAAACTGATTGTTGTTGTTGTTGTTGTTGTTGTTGTTGTTGTTGTTGTTGGACACGTGCGCTGGCGGCCCGTCCCCCCCCCCACACCCACTCCGACACCCCAACAGACCCCCACGGGGGCCTTCGGCCGGCCTGGGGGTCTGTTGGGTTGTCGGTGTTGGTGCGAGAAGGCCATTCAGGCCTCCCTATGGGGTCACGAAGCGTTGCACTGAGTGGGAAGACGCATGTGGACACCGCCACTGGGGCCTTCGGTGGAGCTCCCTACGGAGCCACGAAGCGCCGTGCTGGGTGGGGGAGACGCCTGTTGACAGTGCCCTTGGGGCCCTAGGTGGACCCCCCTATGGGGCCACGAATCGCTGTGCTGGGTGGGGGGTACGCATGTGGACATTGCCATTGGGACTTACGATCACCACTTATTCTTTTATAGTATTACTCGTACTACTACTTCTACGATTACTACTACTACTACTTCTACTACTACTGTTGCTACTTTTACTGTTGCTACTGTTATTACAACTACAACATCTACGGCTATTACCACGACTATTATTATTACTACTTCTGCGACTACTACTATTACTCCTATCACTATGGGTTCTACTATTACTGTTGCTATTACTATTACGACTACGACTGCGACTACGACTACCACCACCACCACCACCACCACCACCACCACCACTACTACTACTACTACTACTACTACTACTACCACTACTACCACTACTACTACTACTACTACTACTACTACTACTACTACTACTACTACTACTACTACCATTACAACTACGAGTACGAGTATTATTACTACTACTGCTACTAGAACTAGTATTTCGAAACTTATTCTTGGCATTACAGTTACTATTACTTTGATTCGTATCGATATTACGATTGCTACTACTACTACGACTGCTACTACTACCACCACTACTACTACTACTACTACTACTACTACTACTACTACTACTACTACTACTACGGCTACTTGTACTACCACGAATGCTGCTGCTTCTACTATTACCACGGCTACTATTACAATCGTTATTGTTTCTGCTACTAATGCTACTACTTACTATTACTAGTACTCGGAGTTCTACTACTACTACTACTACTACTACTGCTACCATTCCTCCAAGTACTATTGCTACTACTATCACTATTGCGACGACGGCTACTACTACTACTACTACTACTACTACTACTCCTACTTCGACTACTCCTAGTACTACACAAATATTACTACGACAGTTGCGACGAATACTAGGCTGCCACTACTACTTCTACCACTACGACCATCACTACTACTACTACTACTACTACTACTACTACTACTACTACTACTACTACTATCGTTACTAGTACGACTACCACGATTAAAACTGTAACGAATACGATTGGTATTGCTACGACTACAGCTACGACGGCGACGACGACATGTTTTGTGATACCCAGATTACTACTACAGCAAAAACAGCGACTCATGCGATTATCTTTTATTACGACCTCTACTACTACTACTACTGCAACTACTACTGATAGTTGTGATTATTACTACGCTTTCTACGACTACTACGGCGATTATTATTGCATGTGCCACGATACCCTTCGCTATGTCCACGTTTCCTAATATTGATGCTATGTGTATTGCTATTTCTATCGCTGCAACTATTACTACCAGTGCTACAACTACTATTATCATTGTTATTGCTATTGCTACTACTACTACTACGACTGCGACTAATACGATTACGATACGGCTGCTACTACTACTACTACTACTACTCCTACTGCAAAGGCTAGTATTATTACTATCAAGGTTTCGACCTCCACAACTACGACTACTACCACAACTATTTTTTCGTATTGCTACTACTACTACTACTACTGCTACTACTACTACTACTACTACTACTACCACTAATTCTATTACGATGGCCACGACTACTTATAGTTCGACTACTACTACTTCTGCTACTGCTACTGCTACTGCTACTGCTACTACTGCTACTACTACTACTACTACTACTACTATTGCTACTGCTACTGCTACTACTACTACTACTACTACTACTACTACTACTACTACTACTACTACTACTACTACGACTACTACTACTACTACTACTACTACTACTACTACCACTACTACTACTACTAGTGTTATTAAATATTTTATTCCGTTTACGATTACTATTGCGTCTAGGGATACCAAAGAGCTCTGCCGGATTTCGAAACATTCCTTCGGAATCCAAGAGATTCCGATGATTACCAACGATTCCGACGAATCTCTTAGGGGTTTTTGAGGATTCCTAGGCACTCCTAAGGGTTCTGAGGCATTCCGAAGGATTCCTAAGGATTCTTAGGCAGTCCCCAGGATTCATTCGGATTCCTAGGGATTTTCAATACCTCGGGAGTTTGAAGGATTCCTAGTCTGGTGGCCTTCGCATGGGGACCCTACGTCTTGAGTAGAGTTTCCTTTGTGAGGAAACCTTCGCAGGGAATCCGTACTCTGGAACCCTTAGTCGGGATTTTTATGTCGAAATGATCAATCGGGCATCCTTCGGGCATCCACAGTAAGGTAGCTTTTGCCGGTAATTATTTCCCAGTAGGGAATCCTGTGTAGGCGTCCCCAGTAATCCATAAATTTTTTGTAGGTAGGGAATTCCCAACAGGGAATCGTTTGTAGGCGTCCCCAGTGAGGAATCCTTTTGTAGTGAATTCCCAGTAGGGAATCCTTTCTGGGCATCCCCAGTAAGGAGGTAGCCTGAGGAGGAATCCACGATGAATCACAAGCATCCATGGTGCGACAGATTGTCCAGCAGAACCTCGCTTCGCCCCCGCGTACACGTCTCAACGTCTGCAAACTCGGAAGGATAACCGTCAGGCTTAGTTCTTCAGAATTCTCTCATCATTGCCCCCTCGGGTTGGAGGCCAGGCTGGCCACCTGGGGGCAGCGTCCAGGGCAATCCATTGCACTGCATCGCTCATCGTATGCTTTGAACGTGCGGACGCGGATGCGGCAAATCGTACACCGGCGCTGGCCATTCACAATCGCCCAGACGTGGGCCCTCGGAGTCTCGCGAGGGGCCATAGGAGGAGGAGGGGGAGGAGGGGCGGAAGGCGGGGCCCCAGGGTCCCAGGAGCCCAAGGCCGAGGCAGCCCCTGAGGGAGGGGAGAGGCTCTTCACGGGCTTGGCCAGCGCCTTGTTGCGACGGGGGGCTATCGCGGGCCACTCTCCAAGGGCTTTGGACACATATCGAAGATATTTCTTCAGCAGAGCAGTGTCTCTCTGATACTGCTCTACTTCGTCGAGACTGGGTTCACTGCCAAGGTTCGCGTCGGCCTTGGCAGTCCTATCTGCGGCATCGCTGCCGCTAGCTAAACGGAAGTCGTCACTATCGGGGGGTAGCAACTCCAGATCTTGGTGAGCCTTGAGGTTCTGGAGTTTGGGGCCGAGGTCAAAATAGCTTCCGCCCGCGAGCACTTTACAACTTGACCATTGGTTACGGCGAGGGTATCCAGCCTCGCCGTGCAACTGCAACACCCCTGTATATTATCCGAGTAAATCTTGTCAGCGTGAGGCGAGAGCCTGCCTGCCGCCACTGCGGCGAGGTGCTCAGCGGCCCCCGAGGTTTGGGCCCCCAGGGACCCATCGCGGCCATAAAAGGTGGCAAACTCCTCTCCATCCGCCATGCACACTACGGCAAACCCAGCAGCATTGAAGTTATAGTGGCCGTGACACGTGCAACTACCATCTATGCAGACATCACCTTTGAACGCTTCCTCAGGCCTTCAATTAGGGTTTCGACACCAAAACTTAGCGGCCTCCAGGCCAGTGCCAGGGGGAGGGTTGCCCACAAAGTTGGGCGTAAACTGAAACCCAAGGTGAAGCGGGGAGGTGTCAGGAATCGGTTCTTTCAACCTACGAAGCTCCCCACTGGTGAGCTCTTCTCTGGCCTGGGCAGTCTTGGGGCACTCGAGGAGGCGATGTTGGAGGTCATCTTTGTGGTGTCCACATGGGCAACCTTGGGGCGCATCATATCCTGCTGAAAGTGCGCGCCCCATGGTCCAGATACTCTGGGTGACGAAGGCCAGCAGCGTGCCGCGCTGTCGCTTGGTCAGCTCGTCTGAGCTGAGGCCGGTGCGGAGGGCTGAAACATCAAGCTGCTCGCCATGATTTCCCATCATGGTGGCAGCCTGCACTGCTAACTTGTCGTGCCATGCAACCTCGAGCTGTTTGGAAATGTAGGCTGGGGAAGTTCCTGGGAGGGGATACGCAAGGCCTGTAGGAGTCACAAAACTGAAAAGGACCCTTGAACGACCACCCCACCCTGGCCAACGAGAGGGCCGCCGCGCTGATGGGGGCCCCATACAGGAGCCCCAAGTTTTGGAAACTCTCGGTAAAACTGCCTCTCCCCAGAGGCTGATCTGTTGGAGGCTGGCCACGGAGGAGGAGGAGGAGGAGGAGGAGGAGGAGGAGGAGGAGGAGGAGGAGGAGGAGGAGGATAGGAGGAGGAGGAGGAGGAGGAGGAGGAGGAGGAGGAGGAGAGGAGGAGAGGAGAGGAGGAGGAGGAGGAGGAAGAGGAGGAGGAGGAGGAGGGGAAGCGAGCGGCTTGACGCCCACCTCCCTGCCTGTAAGAGGAGGTGGAACAGGTGCATCGCGGGTGCGGTGCGGCCAGGTCCAGCCGGGCCCCGGCCGCGCCTGCGCGCGCCTCCCCGGCCAGGAGCACCCTGGCGCGCCCGTGCCGCGCGCGCCGTTGCGCGCCTTCCGCTACACCACCGCGGGCGGGTGCGCCTGTCAGCTGTCGGAGGCCGACGGCTGGCCGCGGAGCCCGATCCTGAAGGCGCGGCGGCGCGGAGATGGGTCGTCCCCCCTCGGCCCTCCTCGAGCCTCCTCCTCCTCCTCCTCCTCCTCCTCCTCCTCGTCTCCTCGTCTTCGATGTTTCGCTTCCTCCTCCTCCTCCTCCTCCTCCTCATCCTCCTCCTTCTCCTCTTCCCTCCTCCCTCCTCCTGCTGCTCCTGCTGCTGCTGCTCCTCCTCGTCCTCCTCCTCCCTATCCTCCTCTTCCTCCTCTTCCTTCTCCTCCTCCTTCTCATCCTCCTTCTTCTCGTCCTCCTTCTTCTCCGTCCCTCCTTCCTCCTCCACCTCCTCCTCGTCTTCCTCCTCCTCCTCCTCCTCCTCCTCCTCCTCCATCTTCTCATCCCTCCCTCCCTCCCTCCCTCGCTCGCTCCCTCCCTCCCTCCCTCCCTCCCTCCCCCCCTCCCTGCCTCCTTCACCCAGTTCTTGTTTTTTGGTGGCATGAGGTCCTAGCGGGTGCTGCCTCCCCCCCCGGGCCGGTCGGCCCCGGGGGTTTGATCAAACTGGAGCGAGGCACTCCCCGGAACACCGCTGCAGGGGCTGCCGGCTGGCGGGGGAGATATCAAGTAAGCACGGAACGACGGACAGTAGGAGGAGAGAGGAGAAGAAGGAAGGACAGGATCATTACCTCGACGGGGGTAGTCGCCGTTGGCATCGACAGTGCAACGAGCCTCAGTAATCATGCGTGGTGGCAGTCCCCCAAAACGTAGCAGATGTTGTACCCCGTCCCATTATGCATTGTTGCCCTTGAAGTCGCTTGCGCTGTGGATGTTGTCCGCGTACCCCTCAAGATGTGCCTCTTTATCGGCGCGTATCCTCGATGTGAACTGCTTGCCAGGCTGGCACGAAAGCATTGGTGGCGAGTTGTAGCTCCTCGTGCTTATTTTGGCGTCGTGCCGCGCTGGTCAACCTGCGCCGATCAGGCTGACCAGCGTGGGCGAGTCCTCCATGGCATCCTCAGCAGATACTGTGGGGATCGATGCCTCGTTGAGTTGGTAGGCCAATCGGATTGTCAAGATTCGAGCGTGGGTGGATTGCTGGGCGTCGTTCCATGCGCGGCGTGGTCTCTTGCACGCCCGTCGAACTCGCAGCAGCGCAAATGAGATGTCCGTGATGTATGGCTTGCGTAGCATGACTGCCTTTGGATTATAGTCGTTATCGGCAACCTTCCTAACTTTCTCGTTCAGGTCGAAGGCGGGGTCGTTGATGTCGCAGTCCAAGGGGTGCAACTGGATGTTATTTAATCGCTTCGCTCATTCCGCCGGCCCTGGAGCCCACTTTAGGGCCTCTTGGGGGCCTCCTGGGGACATCTTGGGAGTCTCTTGGGGCTCCTTGGCGGCGTCTTGGGGGCCCCCAGGGCCTCTTGCGGGGCTCTTGGGGGCTTCTTGGGGCGGGAGGGGGGATAGTCGATTGCGGCTCCCCCCTCGGAGGCCCCGATCCTCGTGAGGGGTGTCGAAAAATTGCCCGGTCCGGCATCCCTGACCCGGACCTGCCGGGTCCTTGCCGGGACCTTGCCGGGACCTTGCCGGGGTACTTTTCGCCCAGAGACCCCCAGGGGCCGCCCCGCGCGCGCGAAGTAGAATATTGTTAACCAGTTAACGGAGATCTTAGCACGCCTCTGGCCCGTTGGGCCGGCGAATTCAACTCTTCTTGGAATATCTTATGATATGTTGGGTTGGCGATTTGTTTGGTGTTCAGTCGTGGTGCAGCGTGCTTGGCGTGGAATGCCGCAACGAAGGTCTGGCGCCTCATAACTGGCAGGTGGTCTTCATCTTCTTGTACCACGTCAATGTCACGGATCGTAGCGATGTCCGTTATAGTATCCATGTTGTTGGTTGGCGTGACCGTGTGGTCGATGCGCACCTTCTTATTACCTCCATGTTGACCGCAGTCATTTGGTAGCTCGAAAAGAACTCGTGGAACCGCGTACCAGCCTCGGTTTCCTCGAGTCTCTATCCGCATGCCCCTATTGAGTCCGCGACGTGTTTCCCAGTTGTAACGTTAGCGTTGATCATGATGAGATCGATGCTGAACTTATTGGTCATGCTGATGAGGTCCGTCCAAATTGGTCGGTCTTCTCATCCGCTGAATGTCCGTGGGTGGCGCGTGCGACCGCCACCGTCCTCCATAGACCTGGCGCGGTAATGCGCACGACCAGCAGTCTCGGATTTTGACAAAGAATCTTGAAGCGGTTGGGGCGCATGTAGTTTTTTGATCCTGTTATTTTCCGCGTAGGGCATTCGAGATTTACGAGTTGCGAATCGCCTAAGTTGTAGTCATCGTCCCAGCTTGAGATTACGTGGAACCCATGCATTCTGGTTGCACCTCTCGGCAGTCTGGTCTCCTGCATGCCGATGAGGTGGACGCTCGTGTGATTCAGCTGCTGGCTGATGACCTCTATTCTTCGTTGCCTGCCTGTGCTGTTCCCTTCGTGTGTGGGTTGGCTCTTCGACGCTCAGGACCTTGAAGGTCATAGTGTCAAGGGCGACGGCGGCTTCCTTGCCGGTTTTCCCGTGCCGTGGTTCGAAGTGCTCAGGCGCAGCTGCAGCTGTAGCCACTCCAGCGCTCAAGCCGTGGTCGGTGAAGTCAGGGTATGCCCTTCGGGTACGTATCGTCGTCTGCTTGCTGCAACCATCGCAGGCCTAGAGGTTGACACCAACACCAAGATCGGCGGTGTGCCTCCACCGAGGGAAGACGATCCCGATCTCGGTGATGGTGGCAATATTCTGGCTTCCAAGGTGACCGAACTATTACCACCAACACGGAACTCGAGGATCGTCTTCCCCCTGTGGAGGCAGCCCCCTGTGTTGGTGTTGGTACCCATTTTAGGGGGCCACATGCGAACCCTACCCCTGCCCCCCACGATTTCTGAGGGGGAGGGTGGGGTTCACTTCGTTCGGGAGCTCCCGAGCGGAGTGAACCCCACCCTCCCCTCAGAAATCGTGGGGGGTAGGGGTAGGGTTCGCATGTGGCCCCCTAGAGGTGGAGACTGGCTGGTACAGCCAGAGTTTCAAGGACCTGATTTTTTTCGATCCGGCGGCTTTTCCTGGATTTCGGCCTCCGGGGCCCGCGATCGGGCCGGGGGACCATCACACATCGATCTGGGACGGAAAACCACCCCCTGGGGCCTCATGGGGCCGCAGATTGAAAAACTGCGGATGTTTGGCAGTTGGTCGGTGAGAGCGACGAGGTCGTGGTTGTGTTGCGGTATGTATTTGCCTTTTCCCATTCCAGTGGCAACTTTTGAGTCGGTAAGGACCGTCGTTGGCGGGTCGTTGTATGCCGGTGCCTGGCTGTAAATCCAAGCGCAAGCCCAAATTAGAATCGTCAGCGCAGAGGTAGTCGATGTAGACTTGTCTGTGCTAGTCGAGGTGGAAGCCGCGACTTTGGCTGCCATGGTACCGGCGTAGACGTATGTAGGCGAAGCCGTCCTCGTCCTCGATGTCCTCGGTGGTGATCACTACAGCCCATGCGTCTTTGGTGGGGTTGTCCTGGTGGGTGCCGTCGGTGTATAGGTGCATCCGCTTGATCAATCCATGAGTTCTGTGAGGGGCAAGTTCCAGTGCCGTGATGGCTGCCGGGTGGAAACTCTTTGGGTCGTGCAGGTCAGTGAAATAGGGTGCAAGGTGGGTTGGGGAGGTGCGTCTGAGTACGTCGGCGATCGGTTCTGTCACTTTGAAGGTGGATCGAAGCGGTTCTCTCGCTGAACGCCTCTCTGTGTGGTCTGCCGGTGCCCTGGCCCTCTCGCACGGAGCGGGGTTCCTCATCGGTTAACCTCCGTCGCTGGTAGACGTAGAGGGTGATGACCGCCGAAGCTGGTCCTTCAGCACGGGCTTGCGATATGTTGCCTCTGCCTATGCGGTGGCCTTCTGCCATGTCTGTCGGAGGGTGGTCGTGCGTTCGTCGGGGTCGGAGTCGGTATCCCGCAGCCTCGTCCAATTCTCGTACGCAAGGTCGCAGTTGTGCCCCATCCGTTGCCTGTGCTGGTGTCGTGGTGCTCTGTGGCGCCGTCAAAAATGGTTCTGGCAGTGGTAGTGGTCGTCGTGTGTTCACTACGTCGTCCATCTTTCCATTGCCATGAATGCGGGATCTGCCTGGCTTTGCACGCCGTCTGAAGGGCGCCATGGCAGGTCCGCGTGATAGGCCAGGGCCTCGTAGTCTGCCCATCTGAATTCTGTGCTCCATCGGTTGGTGGGCAGGGTTGTCCCGTTGCGGTGGGTCATACCTGTTTGAGTCATGTGTAGGTGGTGGCGCTCTAGACTCAGCATGCGCGGCGTGGTTTGTAATTGGTCCAACGCCGTTTCGGAACCTTCAGTAGGATTTCATGGCATCCCTACCGATGTCGGCTGCGTCGTCGCTCGTAGCCAAGTCGGTGGTCTCGTAAGCGTCGGTTGTTAAGTGTACGGTCTGAAGCGGCTCACTGGGGTCGATGGTTGCCCTTCTTCATTTTCGTGCTTTTGAGCTCCTTTCTGGTGGTGCAGGATTTTTCCGCGTAGGTTGCAAGGATGAACCCCTGCCAGGCGTGCCGATAAATCCTCGTAGCAGGCTGATGGCTTTCGGGGTCATCTCCTCCGTTGGTGATGCCATCGTCTCTTTTCGGCATCGGGGACGGGTTGTCGACGTCGATGCTGATGATCTCGGTCGGAAAGTTCGGCTGCCCTGACGGTATGGACTCTGTAGACCATGCTATCGGTGTGGGACAGTCCTGCTCGTTGTTTGGCTGCTGTGCTGCGGAAGGCGTAGTCGGAGCTCTCGGCGGTCTCGTCGGCGTGGAAGGGTAGTACAATTCTGGTTCTGGTATTTCAGGTTGTGATAGAAGTACACATTGTTCATGTCTAATTCTTCGAAAGTTCATTGGTTTTTGGGGGGCCAGGATCCTTTCATTTCTAGTTGTTCTATCCTGGGCCTCTGCCTGGCCACTATGAGGGCCAGGAACAATTCGAAACGAGCACAGTCAGACATGCGCACGATTAGAAATGAACGACGT